AGATGACATAAATATAAATCATTACTGAAAAGTCTTACCTTTTTGAGGACATATGATAAGAAAGTCAAGGCAGAGGGCCTGTCTGAGCAGTTGTATGTTCGGTTTTCCAGCTAATGCCAAAACTCATGGCTGTTCAATAACAAAGCAGGCTCAAAGAAGGTGGTTGTGAAATGTTTGTGGATGTCCTTCTATGTTCCTTGGCAAGTCTATGGTATCACCTCTAGTACCGTGAGGGTGGTGAAACGATTCAGCTTGGTTGTTTCTTTCACACCTTCAAGAATGTGTGAGGTGTCATTTTGGATCTGCTAAGCAATGCTGGATGCCTGCCCAAATCAAATCGCTGGCCGTGGGAACAGTTGAAGTCCTTATAAGAGAGACTTGGGAGGAGGAGGTGAAAGCAGCCATGAGGTGTTCCTTGTGTCTCTGCCCTTCCCCCAGCACTTCATTTTTGCACCTCTGCTGAGCCCCAGTGGAACCAGTTCCACAGCTGAGGGCAGGGGGATGTCTTCTCTGTTCAGGAGTGCTGGGTGAGATGAAGATACCTGCAGCCATGCTGCTCTCTCCCAAGTGGGCCACACTGCTGCAGCTCTGCTCTCACCCTCCTGCCATCCACCTGCTTGATTCCAGCTCCTGCTGGCAGCAGCAGAGCTCTGCCTGGCACTGCTGGGCTCTTTGTGCCCTGGAGGTTGGCACACCTGGGTAAAGGTCCTTTACTAGATGTGCTCTCATGAATCTTGGGCACGAGCACCACAAAAGGCTGTAATAAGGTAAAGAACTTGTTGTGAGGCCACAAATATGACAAATGAGTAGTAACCCACACCTGAGTGTAATGGGTCTACTTTAGGCTACTCTTTTCTACCTTGAGGACTAAATGAGATTATCCTAGCTGCGAATGCCCATTGGATTTGTATCGATCCATAGGCTCCGATTGGATTGCAGCAGCATCACTTCTTAATTCTTCATGTTGCAGACTAAACTCCTTCTGGTTTGGGCCTATCAGAGAGTAAGAGCTCTTTGGGCACAAACTGTTTGACCTCTGTTTGCATGGCAGGATTTTCACCTGTAATTATTTACTAAATGTGTTGGGCTACTGTGTATCCTAAGTAAGAAGGACATAATTTATATTACCTACTTAAAAAAGCCAGAGAAATTGGATTTTTTTTTTTTTCAGAGAAGATAATGTTTAGAGAGAGAGGGAAACACTGAAATATCTGAAAATATCTACTAACAGAAATACACAGAAACCTCTGTTTAACCACAGTAAAGAGTCTCATTCTCTCCATGTTTTGGGCACCTTTGTCTTCCTTTGCATATATGAAAGGTGAAGTATTTGGCTAGTTCCCAACTGAGATTGCACACCCAGGATTCCACCCAGCTTCTCTGCTCCAGTTGTGCATGCAGTTTTACCTGCTTTGTCAATGAAGGCACTGGTGGGCTGTGCAGCCTTGGCTGGTGTTAATGCTCGGCCTCAAAAATTTGAGTGGTTAGGTGTTGGTGGCCACACTCCGGGATGGCTGCAGAAAGTTTGGCTGAAACTGTTTTCTGAAAAATATGTATCAGTCCTCTGACAGCATATGCATACATGCCATTCTCTTCTGCTCTACCAACTAAACTTACTGAAGAATCAACCTTTCCTTTTATGCATGGTGCCTGACAATGTTCTTTGAGTCATGTTCAGGAGACATGACTACTACAGACAATTAAAGAGAGGGCATTTTACAGCAGGCCTGATGGCTTGCACTGGTATTCAGGGGCCACACCAAGAGACCAATGCCAGTATTTGACTCAGCTAGTACTGCCAGACCTGAGACAGCCCTACAGTTATCCCTGCCACTGATGCCCTCTCTAGGCATTTTGGAGCCCAGAAGGGACTTTTAGGCTGATTCAGGTACCAAAGGATCACCCCACCATTAGTAAAAAGGTGTATGTTGCACATGTAAGTGGGGAATGGCTGTCTCTTGCTGCTTGCAGGGGAGGGGAGCTCCACTGCTGGGCAGCTGGCACATGAACAAAGTCTTTTTGTGCCTCAAAGGTTGCAGAAGGTTGCCTGTGGTTCTAATATAATGCCTGACCAAAAGCTTGTTTTAGTAAATGGAGACCACTTGGAAAGCTTTGTTTCAGGCCTGAGGCAAAAATAGTTCATGCTCTGGGGAGAATGTGCCTGGCCCAGAAGCAATAGAGGTCCTTCACAGGAATGGGGTAGGTCCTCTGCCCCCAGTCAGTCCCAGCATCCACATGGTTGTTATCACTATCACCTACTTGCACCTTCCCCAATAAGTAGCTATGTGGAAGAGAGGCCCCTTTGGCTCTGCTGGAATGACATGGGAGCGTATTCCTCCTGCAATAAAAGAGCATTTCTGCAGTGCTTCATGGACTGTATGGGTCAGGAAAAGATTGTGTAATGAGCACATTTCAGGAGATTTGCAAGTTCTGAGGAGACCATAGGTATGTCACCCAGGAGGTCTTCTGTTTAAGTCAAGTGGCATGTGCTATGAGGACTCTTGTTTTCTCAGCAGGAGTGGGAGCAGCCTTTGGCAGAGCTGCCATATGCATTGGGCTCTGGCATCCACCTGCAGTGCAGTTAAGGCATTTCTACACACACACAGAAGGGGTGCTTGTACACAAATCTCTCTCTTCTTCTCTTATGTGGCTGTGTTTCTTTGAACTGATCCAGTATCCCACTGAATTGAATAGAAGGTGGGTAAAGCCTACAAGCCTACTCATGAGAGTACCAATTTGCACGAGCATGCCCTTGTTTTGAGGCAGACTACTGTTCTCAGCAGACTGCAGCCTTTTTTCTATCTCCTTTTGTATTTTTCGGTATGAAAATACTGCATATACTTTGCCTCTCTGAGGTGTTCCCTTGTGATACAAGAAATGCATCTCTGTCAGTGCTTTATACAGCCTCAGCACCTAAAGAAGCAAAGGACAAGCAGTGGGAGTTGATGGTGCTCAGCACTCTGCTGGGAAGTCTTCTGGATGAGCCCCATATGCTGCAGTCTCTCTTCCTGCTCTCCGCTTCATCCCCAGTGTGTATTACACTTGCCCCAGCTTCGCAGAGATAGTTTGCACTCTCCTAGTTCATTAGCTGCTACCCCCTCCTGCCCATGTGCAGAAAAAAAGCCCTTACTGTTCAAAAGAACACATGCAGCAATCATTAATGCTGACCCTAATTGTGCCAATTCAAACCACTCAATAGCTCTAATTAAAACCTCTCTTCTGCAGGGCACTGAACAGTAACAAAACTGTCACCCCGAACAATCAAATCATGGAGCTAAGAAATTTTTTTCCCCTGTTGTGTTCAAATGTTGTTGCTGCTGTCGAAAGGGTCATCTGAAGGGATTAAGTATGGGGCTTTTGTAGGCTGCAAAGTGTGTAGGGGGATATCTAAACCCAATCAATATCTTTTGGTCACAGTTGGAAATCAGAAGACCCCAACTTTTTTCCAGGCCTCCTTTCAACCACTTTACCCACCCCCATGCAGCAAGTAACACCTGCAAAGTAGCCAGGCTCTTGGTTATGAGACACATGGACACCACAAGTCAACTTAAACATATGCAGAGGAGGGGGTGAGGGGGAAACCCAGGCGTTCCTATCCCTACAACCTTGTTTCTCAGGGTCCCTGACTACACTTTCCTGTGTGCCATAAATAACTCTGCAATTACGTTAATTGGTTGCATATTTGTTGACACAGGAGTGGACAAGAGTAGGTTATGGTGGGAGGATTTTTGCTTTTGGTGCAATTTTATACTGCCTTCTTCAGATGTCCCTTAATCCCCACTCTCCCTTCCCCCAGTATTTAGGATTCTCATGTCTTTCAGAATAACTTTATAAGCCTGTGGGTGGGAGGGGGGAACAGGAAAAAAAGAGTGTTAAAATTAATTTGATGGCACCCATGCACTCACATCTATTCTGCTGTGTTTCCCTAGCAAAGTCTATCAATCAAAAGGAAAAGGTTGATACATATCACAGTGGGATATTTCAAAAAGCTGGATACAAGCAATTGTGTGCTAGAAGGCTTTTTCTGCACCAAGTTTTTGATAGGAGTCAGAAAAATGAAATTGTGTGCATGTTCACCTATATTTTTTTACATTTCCCATTTTTTTTTTAAAGAAGGTAGTGAAACTAATAGAGCAACAGCATTAACTACCAAAATTCCAGTCTCGGTACCTTTTGCTTTGTTTATTGTTGCACATGTTCTGAAGTCCAAATCAGGGACCAAATGAAAGAGCCTGACAACGCTGCAAGTACTTTTGTGTCTGTGCTTCTAGTTTAGATCATTACAGGCATACATGTTACCACATGTGGTTCTGGGTTCAAACCACCATCTCAGAGTATTTGGTATGGGGTACTTGACTGAGCCTTTCTTTCCAGTGCCTCCTTAGCTTGCTTTCTTTCACTAGCAGTAATCAGCGTTGCAGTGAGAAAGTTCATGGCATGTTGTGTTTCATCTTTCCTCCTTTCATCTCTCCTGAGCTGCTGTCCCAGCTGAGGACTAGGGAGCAGGATGACACCTGTAGAGCCCTGGCAGTCTGCCTCTTCAAACACCCTGAGCGCTTTCTGTCAGAAACCACCTTCGTTGTTTCTTGTTCTGACTGCTGGGTTGTGCTGTGTGCTGTTACAACATTGCCTTGTCTCAGCAGTAAAGCCATTTCATTTAGTGATGGATAAAATAGCCCATATTTAGAGTAGTTTGACTCAGCCTTGAAGTATTCAGCCCTGGTTAGCAATGAAGCACAAAATCTGGATGTATAAACATATAAACACACATTCTTTCTGTATAGAAGCAACTGGACAAAACTTAAGAATGTTTAAAAAACATTTTTAGGTGGACAGTCCGTGAAAAACTCTTACCAAACTCAGCCATCTGAGCAGATATGTTCAAGATAATGTCTATTTTCACCAGTTTGCCTCAGACCCTGAGAGTCCCAGCCTAGAAGTCAGCAAGGGGCCACACTCTTTTCTAAAAGTGGCGTTGCTGTGACACGTGTCCCACACTGTGATGTGTGATGGTGCTGACCCACTTCTGCCTTTGTGTCATCACTGAGTGGTATCGCAACATTCTCTAGTTTTCAGTGGCAATGTGCTCTTACAATGGGATGAAGAGGAATAAGTGACACTACCATACGGCATTCAAATGAGTGCACTTCAGAGCAAGGTCCCTTCAACAGCAGCACTGGAGAGAAGAAACCAGGTTTTTTGTATGTTGGGGGCTGTGGGAGATAGCGAAACATTCACGTGAGGCTCTTGACACTTGCTCAAGAAGGAGAAATAAGGCACAGAGACATTTTTTTTGGCCTGCTCCAGATGCTTCCAGCCAAGCCAAGAACAAACCCTGGGATCCTAGTATCATGTCTAGCTTCTGGAAAACAGCAACTCTTTTTCTGATCTGGTTCTTGCCTACCTTCATATGGGAAGCTTTGTGAGTCCCTGTGAGCTGAGGGTAGGGGATTTCTGTAAAATACACTCCAGTGTAGATTCCCATCACTTTCCGTTTGGATCTCCCACGGTCCTGTCTGCCCTTTCGTCCTTATTCCTTGTCCCCATTTTTTAGGCAGCAATGCTGGAGTCTATCCTCCTGACTTAGCTGTTGCATTTTAATTTTCAACAGGCCCCTATTGCTCTTGCACCTTGTGTGTGGTCTTTGAACGTTATGTGGCTCGGCAGCTGGGAATAGTGAGTGGGTGGGCAATTTAAAACAGAAAAGACTCTGTATCAGCACAGGGCTGAGGTTTGAACTCTGCTCAGCTTTGGATACATGTAGCTGGTTCTCAGGGCTATGATTTAAGTGCTGTTTCGCTGTTGTCAGTGTGAAACCTAAATCAGTGCTAAGAAACTGGTAGGGATGAAAAAAAACTTTGCCTGTCTGATAACGAGTGTTACTCTTGGCCCTGATGAAAAATTGCAGGATCAGGGCACCTTAGAATTTGTATTCTGCTGTTTTGTCACCATTTTGCCTCCCCAACTTGGAAAACAAGGAGTGTCTAATATGATGCCAGGGTTTCTTTGTTGGAGTATGTTTATGAGCTGTTTCATGCTGTGTAGGACACAATTCTGATTCTGAGTTTCCTGAGGATATGGATTGCTGATGGAGAGAGGCAGGTGAGGTGGATGCCAACCTGTGAGACAAAATACTTTATTGCATTCATCTGAGCATCTCTCTGAGACAAGGTAAATGGGGTCAAGCAACAAAATATAATCCCAATGTCATGAATTGTTGAGCTCATAGGGCCTGGTCCCCAGCTGCTTCTTCCTCCTTTTTGCTATTTTCTGTGCCAGTAGAGGATCATACGGATTGGAGGTCAAGTGGGAGACCCTGCTTTTCATGTGCCCTGGCATGATTCCCACACACGCACACTTCTTTTGCACTTTCGATGGTGAGCCCACTCCGCATGGGCAGAAAGTTCTCATGTATGGGAGATTCATCACTGGCTCTCCTTCACATTTGCAGCCCAGAGTACCAAGTTCTCAAAATTTCAGTGCAGAGGTAGTTCTTTCCCCACCCACTTTCCATCTATCCCACCCAGGTAGACAGGATGAGCAGAAAGAATCCTTGCCTTGATGAGATTGATAAATGAGGCTGGAACAGAGCTCCTCTTTTCTGGAGTCCATATGGAGTCCTACCCAACTTCAAACTCATAGCTGATTCAAAAAAAAAAATAGAAGTTGGCAAGTCCCTAAGTACTTTTAAAGATCCTAAAGGTTAAAGACATGGCCGATTGGCATTCTTTTTAGAGCCCGGAGTGATAGTATATTTACTTCACAGAATTAAAAAGAATGTACAATTAGCATTAGAAACCTATTAGATAGATATTTGGAAGAGTCATTTAATTTTCCAGTGCCACATAAGTACCCATCATTCATCCCCACTGCACTGGGCTTCATACTGATTCTTAACATTATACGCTACAGTCTGCAAAATATAAGTAAGCGTAAAAAAGCAAAAAAGGAGAATACCCTTGTTTTCAAGGAGCTGGCACATTACAGACTAACATCAGCCATGTTATTGTAGAGGTTCCATCCTTAAAAACAGGTAATGTGCTACAGCACCATGTAAAAGCATACTGAAGACCAAATGGGCGTTACTGCCTCTTTACTACATCTTGCACATCACTGCATTCCTTTTTTGGGTTTTGTTTTCATAATAATAAAGGTGTATGGCCAACAGCCTCTTCCTGTGGTGGAATAACACAGGGCCATGAAGGTACAGTTGGGTGTTAGAGTCAGATGGATGGCATTAGTGAGAGTTGAAGGTTTGGCAGTGATGGGAACTAACCAGGACTACTAGCAACATTTTGGGAAACCGAAGCAGTGCAGCCAGGACCAACACAATTTAATATACTTTCTAGAGGAAAAAGTCTGCACAGAATTTGTGTATGAAGTATAATGAATGAAGCGGCAGACTCTAGAAGGATTTCATGGGAAAAGACTTGAAATCCTGTAATATTTTTGACAAAGCTTTTTGTTCAAGTGTAAGTGAATATTCTGCAAAGAGCTTCCAGGATGAAAAGCCCAATAGAATGCTTCCTATTACTAATGGGGTTTCTATTTTATTCAGGCATATATATAATTAGCTTTGATAAAAAGCTGAGACTCCTTTTTGTTGACATAATCCGGCAAATACACCCCAAACTATGCTAATAGCAATGTGTGTCTGCTTAACAAGTGTGAATACTTTGCACACAGCAGCAATTGTGTTGACAGTGGATGACACTGTAAAATTGCTGTTCACTGCGATGTGAATCCTTTCAAACCCAATGATTCTTGATTTTCACTTTCATAATCACTGAGTCAAATTCACTCCTCCCCACTCCCTCACATTCTACCTATGTCTGGGAAGCTGGGGAAATTGTATTCTACCTCATTTTAGGTAACTGCACAGATTCTCTCATCCTGTGGTTGCTATTCCAAACTGCATTGGATCGTGAGTATGCTCAACTGTGGCTTTCCAGTCTTTATTCTGGGCTGCCCTGAACTCACCTTAGATGGAGATTTGGGGGTGCCAGCATAGTATAAAAGGCTCTTTTACTTCTGCAGGTTCTCAGCAATTAAGGCCTGGCAGCAATGGATAATTCTCTGATTAAAATGATCCAAATGATTCAATAGGTACGTTGTTAAAAAAAAATAGCTCTGAATCCTGCATTGTTACAACCTACAACAACCAATCTTTTAGCAAATTCCCCATTTTATTCTTTATTCCTTTTGTGACAAAAAGTGAAATCTAAACTTGTTGCAGGAGCAGTTGTAGCATCCACTGACTTAAAAAAGGACCTCTAACAGTAAATTGGTCCCTAAAAGCAATTAACTCATATTTGGAGGCAGCAGACTATTCTGTATTGAAAGTGTGAGTAAACATTTCTACTAAACATGTGCAAGAGGGGATACTTGCCCTGATGGAAACTGTGGCAGACAGATCCCGTGACAGTTCTGTTGTGGGAGCCAATACTGTTCAAAAGAGGACAGCGATCTTCTGAAACTTGTTTGAGGACAAGACAAGTAGATGCAGAGGCAAATAATCAGAGCAATCAAACAGTTCTCCCTGAACAGTTGTCAAGACCACCAATATATACATTCTGTGCCATGAGTTTGTGGTGGTGCGCATGATATGCATGCACCATAGCAACAAGATATTAATCATCAACACAGACAGGCACATGTTGGGGTAAGTCTTCTGAGGTGCAAGTCGTAGGCTGATCTGGTATACACAACAAGCCCCAACGGTACCAGTTTCAGTGCTACCTCCAGCAGTATTGCATAGTTGAATTCATTACAGCTGAGTTTACGTCTTCCTCTGAAGGATCCAAACTTTGGGCCTTGTGTAAAAATGTCTAGACACGAAGAACAACTTCTCTTCCAGTTCTATGTCCCTCTCTCTTTGTAGTTTTCAGTTACACACCCTGGGCAACTTCTTTGCTGGTGAGACACCACTGACTGGAGTGGTACTGTGCCAGCACCATCTTTGGCACTCTGAGTGATGGCAGAGATTTTCAGAAGAGCTCAAGTGAGAAGGCTGTGAGCCCAATTCCTCTTACATTTGGTCAGTAGCCTGCTCTTGGCTCGTCAGCATCTCTGCAAGGCCACTGGTGCCCAGTGCAGGCACTTCCCACTTGCCAGCAATCTGAAGAGAAATAACAGACAATTTAGTGGCACAAAACTTTCTCTTTCAGCAGTTTGTTTTATTTACCTAGATTTTTCTTTGAAGATGACACACCAGGAAAGTGCACCTATACCAACCAGAGCATTTGGACCACTATGCTGAAGAGTTTGGCATGCATTTTCAGTTGTGAAGGTAATTTACCATTGGAAAAAAACCCTATGTATTTTCTCTCTTGATAGTGTCTTGAAATAAACTTGAATGTCCTCCACCCTCCTGAACGGTGATTTGGTAAGGTTTTTGGGCTTGGAGCAGCTCCGTGGAATTTAATGTTTGTGATACATAGGCCAGGCTATGAAGTCTCTTCTGCACTAAGGCACTAGTTCGATTCCTGTACAGGCCATTTGCTTAAGAGTTGGACTCGATTGTCCTTGTGGGTCACTTCCAATTCAGAATATTCTGTGATTCTGCAAAGGAAATATACATTCCTACAGAGAAACACCTGGCCATGGGAATATAGGTCAAGACTGAAGTATGTGTGCCAAGGTTATGAACAGCTTTGGCAATAAAGGGATCAAAGGGTTCTGTTACTGGGAATTTCTGACCATCTCTAGAACTTTTACTTAGTGTTAAGATGCTGCTGGTGTCAGGGCCTCATAGGCATTGAAGGGTAGGCTTCCTGTGTAGCAGATAGGGATTAAGAAAACAATTATTTTTTCATGGTGGTAGTGACCATTTATATAGCACAGAGATTCTGATATCCATGGGTTTGTCTGTGAAAAAATACACCAGAGAAAGACATTCATGTTTAAAGTAGGAGTGATAAAGAACACACAAAGGCATCACACATGAAATAGGTCAGACCCAAAAATAAAGCTAGAGAGGGGAACTTAGGCAAGTGTGATATTGTTATCTGGACTGAAATTTTATCAAGACGCAACTATGAGGTGATGTGGTACTTCAGTGGTGGGATCACCGCCTGAACAAAACTGTACTAGATTCTCCCTGTCTTTTCACAGGTGTGCACTGATACAACTCGTCCAAACTCAACAGAGCAGATCCTGATGTACACAAGGACACTCATATTCAGATTACCCAGCTCTCCCCCTCCTCTTCCCCTCAAGGTCTTTCTGCTCATGTCATGTGGAATGGCATAAGTTCAGGTATGGAGCAGAGAGACTTTGAAATAGAAAATCAGAGGATACCGCAGGCCATATTGGAGAAGAGCTGGCAGAGTGGTGAGGGTTAGGACTAAGGTAGGCTTGTATGGGGTGCCGTGTTTGGAGTCCCAGAGGCCAAAAATAATGAATACCTGCAGAACTCCGTGTGAGTAACAAACGGCTTATCCTGTCTAGTCTAATGATAAAATGTTACATACTGGGATTTTAAAAATAAATATGTTTGGTTTGGTTGGGGTTTTTTTGTTTGTTTGTTTGTGGAGTGTTTTTTTTTTGTTTTTTTTTTTTTTTTTTTTTAAGAAAGATTAAAGCAACCGCTATAGCTAAACACACTGCTTTAGTCTGATAAGATGCCAGAATTACACGACTTCTACTGTGTAACACGGTTCTTTGTGTGGGTGTAGCAGCCCCTCCCCATACCTAGTGGATACACTGTAGGGAATTTTTGCAAGTGTGAGTATTGCCTCTTGTAAGGTCATCCAGTAAAGAAAGTTAAATACATTGTATGAAGAAATTTCATGTCTTGTGTGTTTCCTTGAGAGCATCACAAAATAGTGCTACATAAAATTATCGGTATTACATGCATAGCAATAACCTCCTGTGCATATTGTTTTTCAAAACGTTTGGCCTCTGCCCTGCCATACCCTCCATCAAACTCATGCTGGTAATTTGAAAATGAAAGACTCAATGTAAAAGCAAGTCAGTCTGGTTCCCAAGGTATCTCCACCACTCAGTAAGCGCGTAGAGAGAGGCTTGGCATTAGACTCTGCCTCCAGTGCTCAGGGTCTACAGCTTACTGTCATTACACTGCCATGGTACTGCTCCCTCTTTAGTTCGTAATCGAACAGACATGCCTGCAGAGACTGGGCCCTGCCGGTCGATGTATCTCCATTTCCCTCCTGCTTCTGCTCCACAGCTGCACTCACTTTCCTGTTGCATGACACAATGCTCACTTTCTACCCAAGCCTCCCATTAGTGAGTGCCTGGTTATGCTTGTACATACTGGGACCCTCATGCAGTCAATAAGGGCTTGTTGTCTCAAGAGGTACCAAATTTGGAATGGTTTTCCAGGTGCAAGGGAAAGACCACAAGCACATCACCTCCACAACGAGGTCTTCAGGATTGGCTGGGTAATGCAAAGCAATGTGTTGTGGGCCTACTTGTGCAGTTGGGAAGGCAGGGAAAGATCTTCAGGGACAGGTAGTCTCTGTGGCTGTGGGTCAGCCATGCCCTGGGCCCCGGCATGGAGGTGACAAGAGGACGTGCATACCCAGAGCTTTCGCCCCAGAGCGCCAGACCAAAGGAACGCGGTTTGTGGACCATGAGGTGATTTCCTACGCCAAAGTTTCCTGGTCACCAGCCCGACCTGGCTGCACGGCTCAGCTGTTACTGTCCCTGCCAGGGGCTGGGTACGCCCTGCAGGGCTTTGAGCTGGAGAGTGCCGGCCGCGCTGGCTGGTCGTCTCCCGCAGCCCCGCCGACGCTGCCCGGCACCCGCCCAGGTGCCGCCGAGGGCTCCAGATGCTGCGGGCCCGGGGCAGTGCCGCCCCGCGCCCCCGGCCGGCAGTGCCACTGCCCGCGGCCAACCTGCGCCGTCCGCCTCACGCCGGGCCGCGGGGCGGGGCGGGGCGGGCGGCAACGCCTCCCCGCCATTGGCTGCGGCCCGCGGCGGTCGCGCGACTATTGGTGCTTGCCGCGGTCAGTGCCGCCCGGCCCCGCCCCGCCGCGGCTTTATAAGCGGCATCCCCATGGCCGGGGCGGGTAACCTGCTGTGGCGGCACCGGCAGCGCCGCTCCGCCCGACACGGACACGCCGCCGCTCGGCAGAGCTGCTGCCGGTGGCCGCAGAGCTCCGCCACCCCCCCCGAGGGACAATGGTGCCGCGGACCTGTCGCAGCGCGGGTGCTCGCCCGTTCCTGCTGGCGCTGCTGCTGGTGCATCTGCCGCAGGGTCGCGGCCACCGAGCCACGGGGCCCCGGGTAAGTGAATAAGTGAGCTGCCGCCCCGCCGCGGCAGGTTGCCTTGGCCCCGGCCCGCTGCCCCCGGGCCCTGTCAGCGCCGCAGGTGGAGCCTCGGCCGTCGGGGCAGCGCCCCCCGGCGCAGACCCTCGCAAGGGCCTCCCCTCTCGCTTATTAAAAGCCGGGTGCCGGCTGCTTGCGCGAAGTTCATACACCGTTATTAACTTCTTGGTATTTATTGCAGAAAACACGGGAGGAGGGAGATTGGCAGGCTGTGGCTTTATATTGCTCGTCTTGCATTTAATGTAGCCCCTGTTCCCCGCACATAGCTTTAGGACTTTTTTTTATGTTCCCAAGCAGGGATTAAATGAATCCCTGCAATAAAGCTTGATGCCTTCAGCCCAGACTTCTCCCTGTAGGAGTCTAGCTCTATTTTTTTTTAATCTGACAGTATTTGACTCTTACTGGGGCTGTTAATTTCACTTACCAAACTATTACATTGCTCTGGGGGAGAACCCAACATCTTTTCTAAATATGGTTCTCCCAGTGAGTGAGTGCTACCACTGAAGCACCACTGCGGAGTAGCATGAGAGCTTTCAATTATAAAGCTGCAAAACAGTAGCTGTTCTTCAGCCAATGCTGCAATGAAAGCACCGCTCTGGGTAAGTGGACAAACTTATCTCTCTGCAGGCATGTTGGATGCACTGGGCCATGTGCATTCTTGACCTACCAGTCTGAAATGCTGTGAAATGTAGCACTTAATTAACTTAGATCATGGTTAGGCAAGATCAGGAGTCTTCAGAATCCCTACTCATCTGAAATATAACAAGGGACTTCAGTGCAATGTTCTGTTTTCTGGTTTTGTTTTTTTTTTTTTTTAATTGAAGTGCTGTTTGACCATGATGGCTATTAAATGCTTCTCTGAGCTATGAAAGTGTACTACCGGTTGCACTGATGTCCTTGTGTTCAGCTGTGCTGTGTAGCCTCTTTTATGGCCAGATGTGTAATAGCAACTGTTAGAACTAGTGTGAACAGAACTAAGTCAGAACTGTTGTGTGCCATAAATTATTGGAAACCTGCTTTAAAATATGAGGAAACACAGGAGTGCTTATGCATATATCTGTATTACCCCATATCAAGCATAAACCTCAAAATTGGAGTGGTTCCAAATAGAGAGGAGCTTTGAGGTGATAAGAGTCTGGCTGGATGACTAGGGCCCTTCATCAGCACTGATATCTAATGCTTTAATGAAGATCAATTTAAACAAAGAACAAAATAAAAAAGTTCCTGATGGCAGTGCATAATTTTACAGTAAGCCTGTATATCAAACAGTTTTCATATATGCCATTTTTATATAGTGTACTTTACAAGGCAGTTTAATCGCTCCTTATGCTGTGTCTCTTGGAATGGGAGCTACTTCAGGAGAGTGGAAAACCAAATACAAAGGACTAGTGATTTACTTTTTGCTTGAAGTAAGTGAGCTGACTTTGCTATTTCTCCCTTCATGACTGGGGGAGAATATCAGTTATGAGCACTAGCAACTACAGGTCTGTGGAAAGATGTGCCTTAAAGTTTTAACTTATGAGGTCCTAAATAGAAAGCTGTGAACTTCCAAGGTGTTTAACTCATGAAGTCTGTCTTTTTGCCCTTCGAAGTGTCATGATTAAGTACATGTGAAGGTGAGGAGTTTAGTTTACTTGTTTGCAGCCATGTTGATTGATATAAGCCCCTGAGCTTCATCTCTTGTAGTGATTAGTTAAGTTGTCATTAGTATAAAGGTGCCATTCCAATGAACACAAACATTTCTTTATTATTAATTCTTAAATTATTATTACCAAGTTACACTGGTATGTATTTCTCATGCTGATTTGTGATCAAGAGTGTTTTCCTGTCAGGAAACCTCCCTGCGTGGGTGACGGTGGTGTGTCAGTGTTGCAGTTCTGGGGGTCAAATCCTGTAGGTGTTCAGTTGCTAGGTGTGAAACTTATCCTTTAACATTTTCTTTTCTGTATGGTAAGCACTAGAACTACAATATTTACAAGATGAAATGCTTTTAAAGGTGAACAGCAGCTTTTTAATCCTCAATGAATTTAAATGACCAACAATAACGTTTGAAGCAAGTTTCAGATCTTCCTCCTTGCTTTTCCCTCTTGCTACTGTAGTGTTGCTTCTAAGCTAGGCAGTCAGCATTGTAACTGAATAGATACGCAGAGGAGTATGGCTTGCTACTGTTTGCAGAAAAGGATGAAAAACTAGGGGTATTGAAGAGAAATAGGTGTATCTACATGTCTTGTGCCAATAAGGGATGAAACTTTCAGATGAAGTGAATTCAGGATAATTACTTGAATACAAAGGTAAATTATAAGTGCAGCTAGTATCTACAGGTCTGCTGAGGAACTTCTGGCTCTCAAAAGGTGTATGAATCTTGCTGTTTCTTGTTATAGTGACTATGAGCAGTGACATGAATTCCTTAGACTTGGTAAGTGTCAGTGACTTGCAGGAAACATCTGGCTTTTGCACATATGCTGTTGGCAACTGACACTTACTAGCAGCTGCTCCAAATGAAGCCCCATATTAAGTCTAATACCTTGTCCTAGAAATAACTTGGAAGCCCAAGGCTACTGTGTGACTTGTTCCCTCACTTGACAGACTCTAGAAAAGCTTCTGCTGTGTTACACAATTGCCTGGTCACTTCTAGTTTTGTAGCTCAGAAGAACACTGTGGATGTGATCAACTGACTGTATTTGTCCATCTGAAGGATGGAAAAAGATAATCAGGCTTTACTTTCTATCATATTATCTTCCTGTGTGCCTCTTTCTCTTTGCTGGCATGAGATCTGGAGTTGTGTGACAAGCCAGGTCTTGCTGTTTCCCCCTCCTTGATTCCAAGGTGATAGATGGGGAGTGCTTGACTGGGCTGGCTCATGAATCTCCTACTGTGTGGTGCATCTAAGCAGTGTTCTTTCACAGCAGCTTAAATAGATTGTGCCACTAAGCTCTGTATTCCTCCATCTGGACAATTAATTGGGACCTTTGTTTTTTCTAGTTCAGAGACAGATCTCTGTAGGCCTCCTGCTTTTTGAGTATAACTCCTGACCATTATGAACTTGGTTCATTTATGGCAGAAAACTCTTGGTGGCAGTAATGACAAATACTAGCACAGAGAAATGGTGGGTGCTTGCAGAAGGAGCAGAATGTGACTGCAGCAGTCAAAAGCTGTCCTATGAATGGGCTTGGATTTCTGGAAGACTGGGGATCTGTACCCCCTCCAGTGACTGCAGAGGACTAAAAAATGGGAGAGGAGGACAGGAAGTCACTATAACTTGCTTCCTAGTTTCATGCATGGAAACGCGTCATATTCTTCCTTGAAAGGCATGGTGGGTGGGATCTTACAGTTCAGTGCTGTTGCAAAGGGAAGGTGGTAAATAATAAAATTGTAAAGATATCAACAAATTCCAGTGCATAAATTGGAGTGCCACAGAGCAATGGGAATTCCCTGCTGCAGCTGGCTACTAGTTGGAAGTAGTTGGAATACCAAATAAGAAAAAAGTGCTGAAAAGGCTCCTGCAGCTTTGTCATTCCTTGTGGAGGAGCAAGCAGCATTGCAGCTTGCGCCAAGGAGTGGCACAAGGAGTGTGTTCTGGTATGTGTTCACTGCAGCCCCACTTGGAGGGTTCCACAAAGCAGGTGTCTTTACACATGCCCTGCCAAAATTAAGGAGACTGTATTTTTTTATGGTGGGAAGAAGTTACAAAAGCACATATGATGGAAATGTAAAGCAGAGGGCTTCATTCGATGGAGATCTAGAATAGAAGAGTGAAACTTAGATAGGTTTTCAATGACTGAATTTTGGTTTTTGGTTGAGCTTAATCAACACACTGCATTTCAATGGTCTACACTGATAACAACTGAAGCACTTTAATGTTTTAGATTTCCTTACAGTTGGAGAGATTAATTTAATGAAGAAATAAGTACCCAAAGGCAAGCCTTTAGTAAAGCATCCCCTAATAGGACAGGTTTTTTACTCTACGGCAAACAGCTTTTGGGTACAGATATTCTGTTCTGGTTGGAAGTTTTTAACCAAAGGGGAAGCTCTGATTGTATATAGAGCTATACTTATTATTTCTCCCTCTTCTTGCTCCTTTAATGTTAGCTGAATTCCTTGATATGTAGCAAAGAAACTAATCTGGCTTGTTTTTTAAAACATTATGCAACTATGTTGAAGAACAAGATTAATTGTTGTGTAGAGAACTATTAAAACATTATGTTCCAATACTTTAGTATTGGAACAGCAGGTCCTGTTCTAAACAGAAAAACACTGTAGGATCTGACTTGTTCTGTGTAGTTTTAGAGTTGGTGTTTTAACTGCTTGAGCTTCAGAGTTGGCTACAAGACTATTTCCACTCATGTAAATGAGCTGTGCCATTAATGAAAGATTTCTGGCCACCAAAAGCTTTGGTACAGAAAAAGAAACTGCTCATGTGTTTTTGCTGGTGGTGGCAGCAAACCCTGTAGCTGGTGGAACACCTACAATGATAACCTCTTGGACTAGTTTTCCAGTTTCTAGCACTAGTCATGTGCTAAGGTAATCTTCACAGTAAGGAGCAGATGCTGTCTTGGCTTCTTGCATTTCCAGATGGCCTGAAGCAACTAGTAAGATGACTGTAAACTCATTTCAGTAGTATAGTAGCTCTGAAATATTAATACTGCTATTTAAATATCTTAGATGTTCTTATCCTGCCATCTCAAACTAATTGCGACATTACTATGTCAAAAAAACCCCAAACAAACAAAACCCCATTTGTCTCTTACTTGGCTGCTGAATCCCAGTTCTTCTGGGGCTGGCACATCTGACAGTACAGTTAAGTGTTACACAATAAACTTTATGCTCACATTAAAAGCTAAACATGGAAGCAGTACAGGTGAAACCGAAGTTAATCTCTCAAGGCTGCTGTGCTGACTGTCACACTTAGTGTCCTGTATGACTGCGTGATGGCTTCCTGTCAGAGTCCCCCAGCAGCT